ATATACTATGTATTTTTATTAATTATTTTATATTTTTAATATTATATATTATTATTTATTATCCTAAATTATCATTTATTATTATATATTACTATATTTTATTTTATTGATTATTATATATAATAATGTATGTTGTTTATATATTGTAAATTATTATTTTTTTGTACATTATATATTATTATATAGTATATGTTTCATTATATTATTTATTATAAATTTAATATATATATATATATTGTTTTTTATTTTTTATATATTATATATATTATATCTTATTTTATATATTATTTATTATATATTTTTAATTATATATATATATACAATGTTTCGTTTTTTTTATATTTCATATATCAAATAATGGGGGAAGTACAGTCTTCTCTTGCATGGTTTGCAGTAGAGGCGGAAATGATTTCAATGTTTTGCCACCTTACCATCTATTCTCTGCTGCAGTGATTCTTTTGTGGGGACCCAGGGACACTTCTTGTTCTGGTCGCTGCCCCAGACCTCTTTCTGCGCAGGAACTGCAACAAGAGATGCTGGGTTTGTGTGAAGAACTTGCGAGTGCGAATCGCTTGGCAGAGACAGCCTGCGAGGAGGGCACCATGCCTCCAGTGAACATGTTGCAAGATATTGCAAGTTGGGACGCCTCCGGAGCTTAGGTCATGCCATGTCATGCCCCCTGAAACATCCTGAAAGCAGTTTCTATCCGATTAAGGTGGAGATTCTGATGTGCAGATTCTGAGGAGCAACTCCGGAGGAGCCACAAAGCCCTTCGGAGCTTGGAAGCAACTGTGGAATCCTCAACATCGAATCCAAGGCTTGATCAGTTTTTTTTGCCGAATGCATACCTTTTTAGTTTCATGATGTTTCATGTTTGACTTGTTTCACCAATGTTTTCACTATCAGTTTGAAAGGTGCTCTTTATCCTTGATCATCTTCTGAGCAAATCGTCTATAAATGCGTGATTGATCAGTTATTGCCACATTGACTAGTGAACTTAGAGCCTGTCCTCAGGGGTTCGCTACTGTACTGGGCTACTTTCACTGGTGACCTACCTGTGTGGTGTCGGGTTGGCTACAGGCCGAGTCTGCCAAGAGAGCCATTTCAAGGCCATTCAGCAGCGACAGCCTTGAAGATCATTGAGCTCTTTGCAGATTTTGCACATTGCTAGCGAAATGGCAGGTGAAGAGTTTGTGTCAACACCAACTTTTGGGAATCGCAAGTCCAGATGAGCCACTTCGCAATGGGAGCAGACGAATTCCATGCGCATCCAGACTTCGTGAGTTCAGGTAAAAAGGTGCTGCGAGAAGTTTTTTAGGTAATCCAGTGCTTTCCCATTCAAAGTGGCTCTTGCTTTCAATCCCGTTGAAAGATGGCGGATTAAGGTGAAGATTAGAAGGCTACATCTCAACAACGAAAGTCAAGATTCCGTTTGCAATGCATGTATATCACGTATACCACATATGTAGTGAGACATGGTACACGAGTTGCTCACAAAGATTGAAACAGGCAATGATCATGACCTCGAAACTCGATTAGTTTGTCTAGCCGCAGCCAAAGTGCTGTCGTGACACCATCAAGGCAAGATTGCTCTTGTATGTTTTTAGTACCCTGCACTGGCGTCAACTGGTTTGCTTTTGTCGAACGCAGGCATGGACGATTTGTCTCATGAGCAGACCTTCAACCAGGCCTGGGAAGCCTTGAGCAATGTGTCCCTGGCGTGTCCTTGGCGTGTCCATGTCGTCTCCAGAAGGCATAGTTTCCGCCACGAGGTCACGATGACTTGGGATGGTGGTTGGTTCCTCAGTTGCGTCTGGGATCGTCGCCATGGCATCTAGTGGTCCTGAGGATGGAGCGTGTCCCCATCACAGCCAGTCAACATGAGCCTCGCTGAACCTTGGCGCTAAACCTCATGGCATGCTGGCGCACACACCGTTCGCAATGCTGAGGACATTCTGGGAAACCATGTCATGCAGGCAAAGTTGTACGAGGCCAGCAAAGGATCGAAGTTCACACTTTGCAAGATTTTACTGTAGGAGACCATTTCTGATCTGATGGAAGAATCATCCAACAGTAGCTATACATATATATATATACATACATAAATGTTTTTGGATGCTGCCCATCGTCATCAATTATCATCCATTACAAACCATTTTTATCCATTATTGTCCATGATCATCCCGTATAGTCCATTATCACATTATCATCCAATATAATCCATTAATATTCACAAGTATCCATTCAGATGCACCAATATTCATTACTTGATAATATATATATAATATCCATTCACATTAACTAATATCAACGTTTTTTGCAGAGATGATACATGTAAAAATAATAACCGTGCTATACTTACATATATCATGACGCTGATCTCCTGTGACCGAGCCAGGCAGCACTCTCAGCATCCTCGAAGATCGAAGATGTGAGGGCATCTCTTGGAGCGGCCAACGACGCCCTCACCACCAGTGCGACCATGGAGCTGCTCATCTGAAAATCCTCCAAGGAATCTGGCGATCAAAAGTGAAAAACGCGATGCAGCCCATGAACCCGAATGCAGTCACGTAAAACACTTTTGTGAAACAAGTTATTTGAAAAGTCTTGTGCTTTTTCCCGTGTTTCCGTACCAGTTCACTGTAGACTGTGGAATGTGGAATGGGGTGGAATGCAAAGTGTGGAATGTGAAGAAAGTGAAGTGTTGAGTGGGGAATGTAGCGTGTAGAGTGTGGAGTGGGGACTGTGGAGTGTGGAGTGTAAAGTGTAAAGTGTGGAGTGGGAAGTTTAGAGTGTAAAGTGTAGAGTGTCGTATATTGTCGAGTGTAAAGTGTAGAGTGTGGAGTGTCAAGTGTACAGTGCGGAGTGTAAAGTGTAAAGTGTGGAGTGTAAAGTGTAGTGTGTAAAGTGTAAAGTGTTGAGTGTAAAGTGTGGAGTGTAAAGTGTAGAGTGTGGAGTGTAAAGCGTAGAGTGCGGAGTGTAAAGTGTAGAGTCTGGAGTGTGGAGAGCAAAGTGTAAAGTGTAAAGTGTCGGGTGTAAGGGGCGCAGAGTGTAAAGTGTAGAGTGTACAGTGTAGAGTGTATAGTGTAGAGTGTAGAGTGTAAAGTGTAAAGTGTGGAGTTTAGATTGTGGAGTGTGGGGAGTAAAGAGTAAAGCCTGGAGTGTAAAGTGTAGAGTGTGGAGTGTGGAGAGTGAAGTGTAGAGTGTAAAGTGTAAAGTGCGGAGTGTAAAGCGTAAACTGTGGGTAGTGTGTGAAGTGTAAAGTGTAAAGTGTAAAGTGTAGAGTGTGGAGTGTAGTGCGGAGTGTGGAGTGTAAAGTGTACAGTGTAGTGTGTAGAGTGTAAAGTGTAGAGTGTAGATTGTAAAGTGTAAAGTGTGGAGTGCAAAGTGTAGAGTGTGGAGTGTGGAGAATAACTTGTAAAATGTGAAGTGTAAAGTGTAGAGTGTACTGTGTAGAGTGCAGAGTGTAAAGTGTAGATAGAGTGTAGAGTGTAAAGTGTAGAGTGTGGAGTGTGGAGAGTAAAGTGTAAAGTGTGGAGTGTAAAATGTGGAGTGGAAAGTGTAGTGTAGAGTGTCGTGTAGAGTGTGGAGAGTAAAGTGTAAAGCGTAAAGTGCGGAGTGTAAAGTGTAGAGAGTAAAGTGTAGACTGTGGAGTGTAAAGTGTAAAGTCTAGAGTGTAAAGTGTGGAGTGTAAAGTGTAGAGTGTGGAGCGTAAAGTGTGTGGAGTGTAAGGTGTGGAGTGTAAAGTGTGGAATGTGAAGTGTGGAGTGTAAAGTGTAAACCGTACAGTGTGGAGTGTAAAGTGTGGAGTGTAAAGTGTGAAGTGTAGAGTGTAAAGTGTAAAGTGCAAAGTGTGGAGTGTAAAGTGCAAAGTGTGGAGTGTAAAGTGGAAAGTGGAAAGCGTGGAGTGTAAAGCCTAAAGTGTAGAGTGTGGAGTGTAAAGTGTAGAGTGTGGAGTGTAAAGTGTAGAGTGTGTAGAGTGTGTAGAGTGTGTAGAGTGTGTAGAGTGTGTAGAGTGTGTAGAGTGTGTAGAGTGTGTAGAGTGTGTAGAGTGTGTAGAGTGTGTAGAGTGTGTAGAGTGTGTAGAGTGTGTAGAGTGTGTAGAGTGTGTAGGGTGTGTAGGGTGTGTAGAGTGTGGGGTGTAAAGTGCAGCGTGTCCGAAAGACCGCTCCTGCTACGCCGCTACGCAAAATAGCATGCCAGACACGACGGATCATCACCAATTGTTGCGCCTGCCACGCAAAATGGTGATGGAGGTCTCCAAAGTGCTGCTCCTGCCACGAAAATGCAACTCATCTTTCGAAAACGACGCAAAAGTATTGCGCCTGCCACACAAAATGTCTTTCGGCACGTTTGCATACACGTGAGAATGTCAGGAAGTGCTATGCCTGCCACGCAAACCGGCATTACAACCAGCTTTGATACTTTCTAAAAGGAGAAGTTTTGCACCTTCCCCCAATAGACACAGTGATGCCACAAGAAAACCAGAGAATCGAGACAAGACATGTTGGAGCCTCAAAACGAGCATTTCGTGCGAGACGTCCTCAAGTTTTCACACTTTGTAGTTCCTACGAGTTTTCTTAGGAACCTCTAAATTTTGCAACCTCAAAATCAATGTTTCGTGAGAGGCTTCCGTCAATTTTCAGCACATCTCACAAAATGTCACGCCTGCCACGGAATTTGCACCTTGTCGCCACTTGACGCAGCCCTGCCAATGCGATTTGCAAAAAAAACACAACATGACACGTCTAAAGTGCTGCGCCTGCCACGAAAAATGGCGATGGACACGTCCAAAGTGCTGCGCCTGCCAGGAAAACTGCAACTCGTCTTCAGAATTATGAAACATTTAAGGGCTGCCGCCCCTGCCGCCGACCCCGGAAAAGAGAAAGCTGGCTTCATTCGAGTGTTCTGTGAGTTGTCAGCCTGGATGCTTTATATATACATTATATATATATATGCATCAAATAGTATATACTTGTGTGTTGAATTGAAATTTTGCTAGTCCCTATCCCTGCCATGAAGCTCAAGCATCCATCCTTTTGCTTTCCGTTTTTCGGGGGTGGTGTGTCCTCCTCCCCGTGCGCGAGACATAGTCTTCGCACGGGAAAGGCACATCAGTGAATCATAAAGAGTTGTTTGAAAGCAAAAGAATGGATGCTGACTGGCGATGGAGCATGTATCGCGTTTGTCTGTCGTGTGATACAAAAAAGCAATGTTTTTTATGCCAGACAAAGCAGACGAAAGAATACTTTAGCCATGTAGCTTGGCAAACGCGGGATCCCAAACGTCGATTGTGTTTGCAATGCCAGACCAAGACCCGCGGCTCTTGGAAATGCGCGGTCTGCCACCAGCGGCGGTCGCGGCACCACTTTTCGAACTGGCGAAAATGGAACGCAGATATGCGACGCATGCCATGCTGCGAAATTGCAGCATGCAGTCCGTAAGCGCGCTGCTGCTTCCAGTGCAGCTCGCCTAGAGCCCCTCCGGAAAAGAATTCGCCGCAGGCACATTATCCAGGAGACATGGGAAGCAATCGCTGCAAACAAGAAAGCACGCACACATGATCATTCGACAGATCCCGTGGAAATGCGCTCTGCTGACATGGCGTCGGCCGGCCTCTTGCAGGCAAGCAGTAGGGAAAAAACAGTTGCCGCGGCGCTGACGTGCGAAGAGAAAACTACAAATGAGGTTGCTACCGGTCAAAAAATGGATGCGATCCATTCATCGACCCAGCCGCGTGCTGTAGGGCCCAACACAGCACCGCCACAACTGCACACATACATCTGCCCGTACTGTGCCAAGTCTGTACAAAGCCCTGTGGCAACCGGGCGCGTCGATCACCGCCGCAGTAAGGGCTGCGGCAAACAATTTCGCGTTGCCAATGGCCTGCTCGCAGGCCGCACATACTCGCATGCATGTCCAACATGCGGCACGGTGGTGCACTCAACACTGGCTTCCGGCCAAATTCGGGTAACGCATCGCAATCCCAGCGGCCGGCAGTGTCGCACCAACCAGTGGCGCGTGCAGACCTGATGAAGTTTCCAGCTTAAGGTTGCCACACAGCACGGCAATGCCCCACATTACTGTCTGAACCTACAAGAAAAGTAGCCGTTTTCCAGCTTTCCAAGCTTAGAAACGGCGCCTCCGCCACGCCCAAACAGCAGGGCCCTGAAGGACAGACCGGGCCTGCCAGCAACGGCCCCTACTGCCTAACGTTGCTTTCTGAACCTATAAACAGCAAGGCCCTGAAGGACGGACTGGGCCTGCCAGCAACGGCCCCAGCGGCCTAACGTTGCTTTCCCAAATTACACGAAAAGTAGCCATCTTCTAGCTTTCCAAGCTCAGAAACGGCGCCTCCGCCACGCTCAAACAGCAGGAAAAGCATCAAAATTGCGACCAAAAAGTGCCGAATGTAACTTCTGAAACCCATAGAAAAGGATGATTTTTTAGCTACTTTTTCCTCCTGCTGCTGCTGCTCCTCCTCTTGCTACTCCTTCTGTTCAAAGAAACGGCGCCTCCGCCACGCTCAAACAGCAGGGCCCTGAAGGACGGAAAAGGCTCAAAATTGCGACCAAAAACTCCCTAATGCAACTTCTGAAACCCATAGAAAAGGATGATTTTTTAGCTACTTTTTCCTTCTGCTGCTGCTGCTCTTGCTGCTCCTTCTGTTCAAAAGACAGCTCCCGGATGGGAAAACACCATGGCAGTGAAGGACGGAAAAGCGTCAAAATTGCGACCAAAAACTCCCTAATTTCCAAGCTCAGAAACGGCGCCTCCGCCACGCTCAAACAGCAGGGCCCTGAAGGACGGAAAAGCATCAAAATTGCGGCCAAAAACAGCTCAGAAACGGCGCCTCCGCCACGCTCAAACAGCAGGGCCCTGAAGGACGGAAAAGCATCAAAATTGCGACCAAAAAGTGCCTAATGTAACTTCTGAAACCCATAGAATCCCATAGAAAAGGATTATTTTTTAGTTACTTTTTCCTTCTGCTGCTGCTCCTGCTCTTGCTGCTCCTTCTGTTCAAAAGACAGCTCCCGGATGGGAAAACACCATGGCAATGAAGGACGGAAAAGCGTCAAAATTGCGACCAAAAACTCCTTAATTTCCAAGCTCAGATTTCCAAGCTCAGAAACGGCGCCTCCGCCACGCTCAAACAGCAGGGCCCTGAAGGACGGAAAAGCATCAAAATTGCGACCAAAAACTCCCTAATGCTCAAACAGCAGGGCCCTGAAGGACGGAAAAGCATCAAAATTGCGACCAAAAAAGGCCTAATGTAACGTCTGAAACCCAAAGAAAAGGGTTATTTTTTAGTTACTTTTTCCTTCTGCTGCTGCTGCTCCTGCTCTTGCTGCTCCTTCTGTTCAAAAGATAGCTCCCGGATGGGAATTTCCAAGCTCAGAAACGGCGCCTCCGCCACGCTCAAACAGCAGGGCCCTGAAGGACGGAAAAGCATCAAAATTGCGACCAAAAAGTGCCTAATGTAACTTCTGAAACCCATAG